GCTGTAGCTTGTGAAAACAGCCCTGGTGTCTTAGACATGCCTACTGCAAGAGGGTTACTGATGCAAAAATACCGCTAGTCATCTGGTAGTTCAAAGCTGCTCTTTAGACGAGGGCTTCAGAGCCATGGACAGGGTTCAACAAAAGGGATAGCTCAGCCAAATTAACGGGGCCTCCACGAGGCACTAAGGAAGGTGAAAATTTGCAGGCCTGCGGTGTACTCGGCTGCATCCCTGGGTGCTGGTACGAGCTGTGTTAGTGGTCTTTGCAACAGCACAGCAGCAGCTATTGTTACTGCCGGCTCAGCTGTTTGCGTCCCTCGGCTGTCGAAGGGAAGGAAGAGTCTGCAGGAACACAGGAGCACATCTTCTTCCCAGCCCTGCTTCCAGGAGGAGGGGCTTGCCCCCCCTGTCTAGTCCTGCCCTGAGCTTTAATGTGTGTTGTGTGTTTCTGTTCTTTGGGGGGATGCTGAATTGCAGGAGGTTGCTTACTGGCAAATGGCCTGTGAGTCCTCTCAGGGGGGTTAAAAATCAGAATTCTGTTTTCTGGTGTAGGGGAGATGGAGATGCTCTTGGAAGCAGCGATTCCTGCCTGTGGCTTCACTGTCAAACTCCTCCTTCCCCAGGGGTCCATGCTGTGGCTCTGCCCCAGGATGAGTTTTGCTGTGCTGTTGTAGGGGACACTGCTTTGGCTCTGCCGCTCGGAAAGGAGATCTGAAGCTGCTGGGCACAACGGAGTAGCGCTGCCAGCAGCCCCTTCCTGCCTGGGGACATAGCCAGAGGGGTTCTGCAGGCAAAAAAAAGAGGACTTTGTGCCTGGGATGGACCCAAGGAAGGGGGGAAACCACTCTCTGGAACTGGCAGCGTGGTGCCACCTTATTGACCTAGTTTGTGCTGCCCTCTGCTCTGTTAGTGTCGTGACACTCTGGGGTAGAGGTGAGTGCCAGCGAGGACTTAATGTCTTATCCTGAAGGTCTAATGGTAGCACTTCTGTGGGAGACGCAGTGCTGCACACAAAACAGGGCTTTGTAGCTCATTTACCAGAAAAGATGTCCTGGGATATCCACACAGGCATAGGGCACACGTGGAAGTGATGGATTTAAGCATGATTGTATGTCAGGCCTTGGGGCATGTCCTGCCTTAGAGTAGGGGATGTCACCTCGTCCTCAGCATCTGCCCAGCTGTACAGGATGTGTCTTTGCGGTCTCCTAGCTAGCCTGGCGGACACAAAATCTCCATCCAGGCTGTCAACAAAAAACCATTCTCCAGGGCCTTCCTGGGGAAAGGGCAGGCTCTGAACTTTCCCCTGGAGGATACTCTGTTCCCTGTTTATTGCTCAGCACGCTTCTTTTCACTCTCGGCAAAATATGGTTTTTTTGTGCAAAGAGAACAGACCTCCCTTTGGGCAGGGATCATTTGCATTAATTAACAGAGCTGTTATGCATGGCCACGCTCTGTTGCATAGGAGCCAAACAAACGCCGTCTTTTTTTTTTTGTTATAACCTAAGAGTTATTACAAGTCAGCCACCGCATCCATTATAGCTGATGCGTAACACGTGCATTCATGCTGCTGCGTGCTCCACAAAAGTGGGCTTGTATTTACTTCCCCCCTCTGGAGCTCTGGACACTGCTTTACTGTCTCTTGTCGTCCAGGCACTGTTCCCCATTAATTATATCTTAGCAGTACTCGTAGACCTTCATTTCCTGGGAATGAAGCTTTACAAGGAAATAAGGAATATTTAGTGCTGCCAGTGAGGCTGAGAGTTCAGGTACAGGGAGCACCACAAGCAGCAGTGGGGTGGCCTTTCCCTTTCCCCCCCCCCGATTATGTTCTGATCCATGAAAGCAAAAGAGCTGTGATGGGGAAGGAGTTATGGCAGAACAAAGAGGACACTGGGAAGTGGGACGGAAGGGGCTGTACCCGCTGCAAGCCTTGGGCCAGACCCGTGCCAGCGCTCCCTGCGTTTCGGGAGGGGGACCATTTCCCAAGGTGGCTGGTGGGTGGGTGAGCCCCTCTTCGGAGGAGGGGTTGCTGAGGCTGTAGTGTGGCTGTAGCGAAAAAACCATCAAGCAGAGTTGGTTCAAGCTGCCTGTGGGTCAGGTCAGCTGTGGGCTGTCCCCCGGTGCGGGGATGCTCTTGGGAGCCTGGTGGCAGCGTGGTGGCTGGGATGGCATCTCCCTCTGGCCCTGCTCGGTCACCTCAGGGACTGAGTGACACAGCGGTGGTGTAGCTCAGGGTGCTGCACAGCGAGGGAGGCACCGGTGGCGTTTCAGTCGAGCTCTTCAGAGCTCTGTGAGGTGCGTGCCAGCCCTCGCTGGTGACAGCAGGGGGGTGTGGGTGGAGAGGGGAGTGAGCTGGTCTCTACCTCCTGGCCATGGGAATCATTGCAAGGAAAGATAATGTCATCCTTGTCACTCTGCATTTGTACTTGCCCGGAGTTGTGCAATGACTCAGTGGTAGGGCTGGGAAGAGATCCCAGCACTCCTGACCCTCTTTGGAAATGCGTTTGATTACTGTGATGCCAATG